AGCACCACATGGCCCAGCTATCCTACTTCCGGGAACATTCGCAGAGGAAGTAAAATCCCTCCTCCCACACTTATAGTAGCTCCATTCACGATAGCAAAGCTATGGAATCAATCCAGTGCCCATGCACTCACTGATGCTCAAATAAAGAAAATGCACTACCCATCTGCGATGGAATATTACTTAGCCAGAAGAAAGAATGAAAGAATCACATTTACAACAAAGTAGAACTGGAGATGATTATGTTATGGGGTGCAGCCAGTGATAGCCAGCACCCATTGAAATTTGGCTGTGTCCCCCTATCTTCTGTCCTGAAGGTGGGTCCTAACAACAATGGAATGATAACTCCATCCTCAACCACTTTCCCCACATCCTAATTTAGCCAGGATATTGGATGCAGACACGTCCAATTAGTCTAGGCATTTTTAGCTACAAGCCCAGTTCCTGTTCCTGTCCATCCCAACAAGCACTAATCAACCCCTTAGCCCACAACACTTAAGTATTCGCTCCTGCCCACCTGGGACTCACCTATCAACTGAGAGGGGACGTATTGCATTGTCGTGTAACCACTCCCCTCACAAGCTCCTTTAAAAGGCCCGTGAAGCAGGGGCTCTCACTCTCTTTCTGGTCAGGTGCTTCTGTTACTCTGGCACCTTGACTCTTGGCTGACCCAGGACAGGTAATCCCCTGAGCATGGTCCCTGTACTGCTTAGATGGGACAATGTTGTTTCTGGTTTTTGTACCATCAGGAGTTCCAGGAGAGGTGGGGCCTAGCGGTAGTAGAATGTGGGCAGAGAAGCCAGGGGAAGGTGAATGTCTGCAGCTTTGTAAGTGTGTCCAGGTTATCCGTTGCATGTCTCTTAGGATAACTTATATTGTTGGGGAAGCTGGGACATAGGTTTTTCAGCTTAATGGATAGACTAAGGATAATGACCGTTTGTTCCTTTGGGAATTACGATTCATTGGATTATGATTGATTGGATTGCCGTATGGACTTGTGATTTGCTGTTGTGCTCCATTGTCACCAAGCTTGATTAATAAAGGCTCCTTAATAAGCCTTAGGCGTGTCTGGTGTGATCTCGCTCGCACCCTGCAACAATTACACTTAGTGAAACAAGCCAGGCTTTCTTATTTGTGCGAAGTTAACATATATACAGAGAACACAAAAATTGCATGGATGTCATATTCCATTGTTCTTTTTTTGAACATTCCAGAGTTATTTATTTGACCAAAGTAAAATACATTTTCCATTAGTACCAAGAGCACAGCTACCGTTGTTAACATCCCTGTATTTTTATGAGGTGCCAACACGCTGCATTCTACGTGAAACAGTTGACTTGAAAAACAGCTTCAAGTTCCCTCCCGCCCTCTCAGGCCGGTTGATATTAAGCACTTGTGTGGTTGATTTCCCAGGGAAGAGGGAAAGAAAGACTGGGCTCGGGTGAATGTCCTTGACAGCAACCATCATGCACCAGCAGAGCTGTACCAGCAGGGGGCAGCAGGTCTACGCGTCCTTGTATCACCAGTAGGAAGTTACATAGAGAAGAACCGATGGAAGGTTGAAGACAGCAGGTACATTCATCCACTAAGTAAAAATTATACAGCATTATGAATATCCAGTTGCTACCTACTGTACACGTAGATGGTGGCTCGAACATCTCCCTATATTATCCTGAATCCGTTTCACTGCAGGGGTTACTTGCACGGCCGTGGACTTGCAGGGAGACAGAGAAAAAGCCTCGTGTCTTCCTTCACTCCTCTCAAAGACTTAGAACTGGGGTGGGGGGAAATAAGTGAAGTTTTTTTTTTTTTTTTTAAAGATTTACTCATTTTTATTACAAAGTCAGATATACAGAGAGGAGGCGAGACAGAGAGGAAGAGCTTCCGTCTGATGATACACTCCCCAAGTGAACGCAATGGCCGGTGCTGCGTCGATCCGAAGCCAGGAACCAGGAGCCTCTTCCGGGTCTCCAACGCGGGTGCAGGGTCCCAAAGCTTGGGGCCGTCCTCAACTGCTTTCCCAGGCCACAAGCAGAGAACTTGATGGGAAGTGGAGCTGCCGGGATTAGAACCGGAGCCCATATGGGATCCCGGTGCATTCAAGGCGAGGACTTTAGCTGCTAGGCGACGCTGCCGGGCCCAATAAGTGAAATTTTGAAAATAAATTAAAATGCACCTTGGTGGAGAGCTGTAAAAGCCCAAAACTCCCCCTCAGCGGTGGCTGCCATTCTTCTCATGTCCTGAAGACAGAGGTTCTTGCAGGGTCCCCGAAAAATCAGTATCTAATCAGACTGTTTCAGTCTCCTGAAAACTGGGTGAAGCAAGGTGCATCGATTCCTGTGTAAGTGCCAAGTTCTGTCTTACTTCTACCAGCCCATGACTGTCTCATTCTTTAGTTTCCCAAAACATTATCAGGTTCAGGTCTCCACGTGTTTGAAAAATGATTTCAGCACTTTGACGACGAGTCGGCTCTGGGAAAACACTCCTTTCTTCTCGTTCCGGACAAGCAGGTGGGAGGTGGGACGCTTTTGTGGCTGGAGCCAGCAGGAGGAGAAGAGGAGGTCAGATCCGTCGCGACAGCTTGCGTCAAAGTGCAGGCAAGGCAGAACAATCCATTCGTACCATCCTCGCTCTTGATGCAGATTCTTCTAGAAAAGAAGAGCCAGGGTTCTGTATTTGCTCATAGTCTGTGAAAAGGGACCATCGCATAGTATCAGGGTCATGTGGGTAAGAAAAAACCTCTACAGAAAGAAATCTAGCTAGATTCAACAGACATGGCTGAACGCACGCTCACATCCTTGGATGGGTCAATAAGGCTGTGTTCAGTGGGGAGTGGATGGTGTGCAGGTGGGCTGCAGCTGGCCTGGTGCAGACGCTGTGCTTAGTGGGGGAGTTGATGAGCTCCAGCTGGCCTGGTGAAGACGCTGTGCTTAGTGGGGGAGTTGATGGAGTGCAGCTGGCCTGGCTGAAGTGAGCAGGTGGCAGTTACTTTGTCCCTGGCTCTGGATCCCACTACCCAAACCACCCCAAGACAGCACTAGTCATGAAGATCCTTATCTGCTGGAAAAGCAAATGTTTCCGGAGTCGGCCTGGAGTGTAAAGCAAGATGGGGGTGTCCCCTGCACCCAGGGTGAGGGGTGCAGGATGGAAGGGGCCCCTTGAGGAGTACAGAATGGGGGTGTCCCCTGCACCCAGGGTGAGGGAGTCCAGGATGTGAGGAAAGTTGGGCAAGGGAGCAGGAGCAGGGTGGCCCTGGCCAGGGCTTGTGATGAGGCAGGGAACTCTGCAGGTGGGCAGGCCAAGACCTGGAGAGCTGTTCCTGGGAGGTTTCCTGGATGCTCAGTTGCAAGCAGTCTCCCCACTGTTCCGAGGGGCCATCCTGGTGCCTGAGGCCTAGGACCAGAGCCCCTGCAGCCTGACATTCTGAGCAGAGTCCTGCTATGTTGCCACCAGCAGGGGGTACTGAACCTGTGTCCGGGGCTCAGGACCATCAGCACCCCTGAACTGGGTGAAGTGAGAAATGCAGCCTCCTGGTTCTGTTCAGTTCCTAGGTTCACATACCTGGGTGGGACGAGGGGTTAGGCACACAAGTGGTCACTGGCTTTGGGAAATGCCGGTCTCCAGGGGGAGGTTTATATGCAGCTGCCAATACACGCTGAAAGTATTCCAAATGGTGGACTTCCAAATGGTGCTGCCAAAATAGAATTGAAAGAGGACTTTACTGGCTCTGATGCAGTAACACCGCATGTTAAGCTTCTGCCTGTAGTGCTGGCATCCCGCATGGGCACTGGTTTGAGTCCTGGCTGCTCCGTTTTTTATGCACACCTTACTAACACATCAGAGGAAGCAGCAGAGGATGGCCCAGATGCTTGGAAGGCCCAGGAGAAGCTGTGGGCTCCTGGCCGTAGACAGGCATCTGCACATTGTGGATAAATGAAGAGTGAACCAGTGGATGAGAGACAGCCCTACCTGTTTTCCCTCTGCCTTTTCAATAGCATAAATATTTTGTTAAAGTCTTGACTTTCTTTTGGTGGCAACATGTCAAAATCCACACACACAAGGAGTTCTCGAAAAGCTCATGGAAATAGAAATGAAACCAAGTGGCCCTCGGAATGGTTTTGCAGCTCTAGCAAAGCACCTTCCATTTCTGTGTTCTCAAGAGCCTTTAAGAGGATCCTCGCGCTCCAAGGCCACCTCGCCTTTTCCCAGGGGCCTTGTTCTGCCTTGCCGAGTGCTGTTGGCTGCTCGGGTGAGGGAACTCTTGCATTGCATCCCAGAGCAAAAGGCTTTCTGCAGGTGGAGCTGCAATGCCTGGGGCTGCCAGGGCCCACCAGTGACCACCCAGCAGACTCCGAAGTGTCTTTTTCCACTCCCTTGAGCCTCCTTGCAAGTAGCCAATCATCCCAGAACTCACATGTGGCCACATCTACCCTTCGAAGTTGTGTTTCCTGAGCTGAGGGCTTGGGCAGGGAACTCCTGCTTGTGCCTGGCTCCAGCACTGCCTTTCTAGAACAGGTCATGCCCTACTCTGTCTCCCATCAACTCCCAGACCGCTACTGGGGTGAGGTGCAATAAAACACCTTGCTGGAGAGGAGAGCCAGGCCTCCCCTGTTCACCTCTTGTTCCCCGGATATGGCTGCTGCTTCTTGGGCAATGGGGCTTTGGGAGCACCCACAGGCCTTGCTCCTCCACTCATCCTTTTGTGTCTCTGTGCAAACTGAGGGGTGCAGGGACCACCTGCTTCCCACAGCTCCTGGGCTCCAGTCTGAGGCTGGGGTCTCCTCCAAGCCCTGGAGCCTCTGGGAGAGCAGCAGGAAGTGGGCATGTCCAGTCCCCCACCAAACTTGCTCCTTCCCACCCTTCCTTCTGTCTCCAGTTCTTCCGACGTGAACAAGACATGGTGTGCTCCATCTTGAGTGGAGGAGGCCAGACCAGAGGGGGCCGGAACAGGCTGTGCCTGCAGAGGCGGCCCTGAAGGAGCAGCCTGCAGCCGGCAGGCAAGCGCAAGGGCAGGACCAGCACAGCAGGCTCCTGGCTGTTCCAGGGCTGGGAGAGCAGAGGCACCTCCTGTATCATGTTGCGGGGGCCTGGGAAGAGGGCTCTGCCCTGGGCCCTGTTGCCCCTTCTTCTCGGATTGCAGCTGCCAAGTGTTCACACGTGGTGTTCTGAAGAACAAAAGGAGATAGATAATAAATATGCCCAGTATCCTTACCTGTCTGTGGTAAGGTTTGCCGAGGAAGCTTTCAATAAGGAGATGGAGGATGACTATTTCTACAGGAGGGAGCGCATCCTGCAACTCTGGAGGGAGAAGGTGGGTGAGCTCCCTGTCTTTTTCCTGCCCCAACAGCCTCTGCCCCTCTCTGAGGGATAGGATGGAAAAGGGTCCTGAACAAGGGATCTCCATTTGCTGTGTGCCAACAGCATGAGGGTGAAGCAGCAGCTGGTTGCTTAGCTCCAGATTGTTAGAAAGCAACGCAGGACAGCTTTCCTTACAGACGGTCAATATCCATTCTTTCACAAACCAACTTCTCTTTATTATTATTTTTATTTCAATTTTATTTGTTGAATTTATTTCTATTTTCTATTTTTATTTGAAAGGCAGAGTTTCGGAGAGAAAAGGAGAGAGATTTTCCAAGTCAGAAGCCAGGAGCCAGGATCTTTTTTCCGGATCTCCCAAGCGCAGCAGGTGCCCGAGCACTTGGACTTTCCTCTGCTGCTTTCCCAAGCACATTAGCAAGGAGCCACGACAGAAACTGGGCAGCCAGGACTCAAACTGGTGCCGCTTAGATCACACTGGAGCTGCAGACAGAGATTTAGCCTAATGTACCATTGCACTGTCCCCAACAAGATAGATTTTTTGATGTTCATGATCTTCATAACTATTTAATTGAATAATACATTCAAAATCAGGATGACAGAGGTGATGAAGCTACAAAGTAAGGAAAAAGAAAATGACCATAGAGCTAGAGAAAGCTGTCACACAAAAACTGGGAGAAGAAAAAGAAATGAAACAAAAAAGGAGAGAGACACACAGGCACTAATGAAGAGAGAAAGCGAGAGATACAGACAGAGAACTTGCTGAGGTTTCCAGGAGCAAAATGGCCCAACCCCACCCCACCTCATAGAGTTCTGGGAGCCTTGGGTGCACAGTACCTCTCCTGGGACCTACATCTGCCTGGGGTCACAGAGTGTCTCTGTTCTATGAACCCAACATGGCCCTCTCTCCTACTTATACCCCTTGAACCCTGACTGTCCTGTGTCCATGTTCAAGCAGGACTGCTGTGTTCCTTCCCACGGGCTGGGGTAGAAACGAGGGCTCCACCTGCCACAGGGAACAACATCAAGGGCTCTCACAGTTGGCTCAGAGAAGAATAGCAGGGCTCAGTCCCACCCAGAGGATCTAGGCAATGTCGTAAGTAAGGCAGAGTCACCTCTGGCACTCCTGGCCGGCAGTCTCCCTGTGCAAACTTCTGCTGGAGTCAGTTGAGTGGGTTGGGCCAATGAAAGGGAAGTGGTGGAAGATATTGAGTGAATAAAATAGAATGGAGTCAGAGGCCACTGAGTGCCTTCAGAATAAGGACAGGAATGATTTCCTGGAAGCAGGTGACAGTAACCTTTACAGCTTTGTGCCATAAAGAGAGAATCAAACCACAGGTGAGTCAGCAGCTCCAGGGCGCTTGGTCCCAGTCCTCAGGTGGTACACGTGAGTGGAGACAGCTGCTGAGAGCAAAGCCAGCTCTCGAGGTGCAGTCGGGGGATGTGGAGGCTGTGCCAAGCTGTGACTCAGCCTGCGTGGGCCTGGCCTCCTCTAACGGGCCGTGCCTGTCCTAGCTGTTAGGTTGCTGTAGAGTTCAGCTCAGGAGAGCATGTGGGTGCCTGCCTACCTTGAACCCAGCGGCATCAGCACTTCCTGAAGGGCCAAAGGGAATGTATGCTTTGGGCTTTTGGTCATCCACAGGGTAACTACCCGGTTGTCTTCTCTATGGAACTTTTGATGCACCGAACTATCTGCAAGAAAACAGAAGCGGACATTGAAGATTGCCCCTTTCAGAAGGGTACAGAGTTCAAACATGTAAGGCAAGGTTCCAGCTTCCCAGCACTTCCCCGACTGGGAGCTCACCCTGGGGGTGACGATGGGGGAAGCACCTAGCATTGCCCTTATATGAAGCCAAGGCATTGAGTCAACAGCAGGGACCGCCCCATCTCCTGACACACAGTCCCCAGATGATTGGAGTTCCCCAATGCTGCCCACTCACACTATTGTACCTGCCTCTTCCCGAGCCACTTGACCTCTGACCTCTCACATCAGCCATGGTTCTAGGAATCTGATCAGAGTCAAAGGTGTCACTGGCTTGCCAGGGTCCCCTCCTCAGAAGGAGCCTGATGGGGCCCAACACCATTTTGGGTAGCACATGGCCTTCCCAGCACATGGCCCTGCCAGGCTAGAAGGCCCTCTGTTTGAGCAGAGGACAAAGGCACAGCTCAGCCAAGGCTAACAACACAGCCCAGCTGCCCTTGAAGAATTCCCAGTGGCTCTAAGGGCATTTGAAGTTATAGCAGTCAGCCTGTGCACTCCCCTGAAGGCCGTGGGGGTGGCAAAGGGACCCAAGAGGTGAGCTCTGGCTTGGCCAGGGTTTGTGCTTCTTGGGTGGTTACTTCTTCAGGCCCACGCTCCTCCCACATCCCACCCCAAGAAAGGACAGAATGGAGATGTATGCAGTGTGCCAGCCTGAGCCACAGCCCTGCCCACCCCAAGCTACCTCACTAGTCCCTGTTGTGCTTCTTCCTATAGATAATGAAATGCTTCTTCACTATCAGCACTACACCATGGTTGTCCAACTACAAACTCATACAGAAGGACTGCCAGGAGAAATCTCTCTAGTCGATGCCCAGGTGCGGGCCCAGCCAGAACTGCTCCCTGCCAATCAGGGCACAGGAGCTCCCCCACAAGGCTGCTCCTTTGTGAACCACTGCTCCCACCTTTTATGTGTTTCTGGGGATCCCTGCGTGGGTGCCTGCCTCCTGCCCCTGGGTCGCTCATTGTTGCCGGGACAGAGTGGAGTCTCTTATTAAACCTTCCGCATGTCTAGGCTGCTGTGTGCTGAGGTTTGGGGCAGGGCTGGGCTGCGAGGGGGTGGTTCTCAGCAGGGCGGCCTGGGGGCAGCTGGGCTGGGAGGTGTCTCCCCAGTGCGGGCATCCTGAGGGGCTCAGGGTGCACAGCCAAGGCCCTTCTGAGCTTCTCACTCAGTGCTCCTGACATGGCCCTCGCAGCCCTGCAGGCAGTGACCGTGACCTCCCAGGGCACGCCCTGCTCGTTTGTACCCTGGTGCTCATCTCATGAGTGGGTGATGGAGGAACTTGCGGGAGAGGGGAGGCTTCCCGTGTGTGATGCGCTTGGCACCAAGAGTGGCAATGTCCGTGGGTACCCCAATGCAGGGTCCCTTCAGGGTGTCCCTGCTCTGGAGAGTGGCCTGCGCCTCCTCACCTCCTAAGGGACACAGGGTCCAGGCATGCTTGAGTGTCACCGGGGTAGCTCACTGCTCAGTCCTTGGCTGAACATAGGCTTTCTGTAGATGCTGGAGGGCCCCTGCCTCGACCTCCATGGGCAGGTGTACACTCTGCTACCTGTGGTGTTGGTGTTTGTCCACAGTGGCCACAGGCATGAGTGGTCACGTTGCAGTGGCACTTTGCACACACACAGGCTATACCTGTCCATCACTGACACACCGACACCCCTGTGTGTTCCACAGCCTGTGTTCCAGGGGCTACCAGGCTGCCTGCTGTACCTCAAACATCTGTATCTCTCTTCCTGGGCCTCAGCCCAAAGCAGCCTTAACCCACTCTCCATGAAGTTCTGGTAGGGTTCACATGTCCAGCATAGGCCTCCCAGCCCAGCCTAGGAACCTGGCAGCTCTGGGCAGGGCCTGGCAGGAACTGTGGAAAATTTGATTTCCAGCCCCAAACAAGATCCTCAGTCTGGGTCCCTCCCTGGTCCTTCTGCCTGTGTGGAGCATGCCAGCCTTCTAGAAGGTTCGGCCTTGCTAATGCCCTTTGTCTTGGATCCTCTTACACCACAACTTCTGTTCTACCAAGGGTAGTTCTTGCTCAGGAGACAGTCCTGCCCTGAACTGACTAGCTGTCTCCATACCCTGTCCAGCCTGGAAAGTCCTGTGTGTTGCATGGCAACGTTCAGCTGTAAAGGCCCCTCAATGGCACCAGCCCTTGGTGCCCTCTGGTGCTGCAGATGTTTCTCTGGGCAGTGCCCGTGTCCCCTTTGTGGCTTCAGTGGTTTCCAGGGTGACTGAAGCAAGGACAAATGTGTGCATCTGGCTCTGGCCCCTGCTTTCCCATCCACACTCCCACGGCATCTACGGTTTTCTGAGCCTCCACAGGCAGCTCCACCACCCTAGAGGTCCCAGACAAGGGCCGTGGCTCATTGCTTTTTCCCACTCTCACTGCTCACAGGCAGGAGGGCTCCTTGTGGCTTAGCCTGCTCTCTCCTTCAGTCACTCGACCCCCGTGAATGAAACCTTGACCTGCGGGTAGCAGGAGTCTTGTCTAGGTGTCCTGCTCAGAGCCTTAGCAGCTCCGCTGAGTCCAGTCTTCACCCTTGGCCCCCAGGCTAATGTGTCCTGGGTCAACAAAAGTAGACATATGCAGGGCTCTGCTTTACTCTGCCAGGACACTGTGTCCATGCCAGCTTCACCCCTCAGCATGCTAGGTATGCCTGATTCAAACTCTCTTGGCCCAGGGTCATCCCTAGCTCTGCCAGGCCATACCCTGATCCCTGGGCAGGGCATCTCCCCTACAAGAATATCATTTTGGGGGTGACTTTCCCACCAGGATCCCAGCTAAGAGAACCATGGCAGCCTGACTGATGGGCAGCGAGGAGGCCCTTCATCACCTGCATCATCTCCCACAGTTGTGTGGCTCAGAGTCATCTGCTAGAACTGCAGGATGGAGGAAAGCTCTGGCAGGCTGTTGCACAGGAAATCTCACAGGGCCCAGGATCTCAGAATGATGGTCAATGAGAATGCTCGCTGCGAGGGTAGCGGGGTCTGGGACCCCTGGAACTCAGGCTCAAGTCCTTCACAGTATGCCCCTGAGCCATAGCCTCTGCCACCTGCAACTCCAGGTTCAGTCTCTCCTGGGCAGTATCCTTGTAGCTGCCAAATGATGCAGGGCCTTTTGGTCTTCCATGGGGGACCCTGTGTCCAGGCCAGAGACCAAGGGAGACAGGGCTGGCATTGTAATCCAGCAAGCAGAACCAGTGAATTAGGGTTGGTGACAAGGCTCTGCAGTTACCCCTCCATGTGAAGAGTGGCAGCCTGGGACTTCAGGCAGCAGAGGCAGGCTGAAGTGTGTGCCTGGCATTTTGCTACATCCCTGGGAAAGGGTCTAGGCCACACCCTGGAGTGGCGAGCCCTTCCGCCCAGTGGGCATGAGATCCTGCTTGAGCTGCTGAGCTGGGAGCCATCACTGTGCCCAGGCCACAAAGCTCCACACGGTACAGCCAACAGCTCAGAGGTCCCGGGACTGTCTGGCTGCCCTGGCTCTAGGGTCCAAGTCTACCACGCCCCCTGTCTCCACATCTGTGGCTCCTGCATCTGCAAGCTGCTACTTTCTCCCTCACTCCTGAGCCAGGAACTGCTGCTGACAGCCCCAGAGCTGCCCGTCCAACCTGACTCTCGGCTCTGGTGACAGGCCCGGATTGAGTGATGTAGCGATGGACACTCTCCCCGTCTGTGTAATACCCCAGCCATTAATGGTTGTGATTAATGACAGCCCATACACAGTCCTAAGCATGAACCTTCGCGTCATCATGTCACTGTTGCACCTGCCCCTCGGCTGGTCACTCTGTCCTTGTTCCTGTTCCTGTTCCAGGTGAGGGGCCTGAGAACTCCAGGATAAGTTTCCTAAGCAAGGAGACGGCAAAGCCCAGCCCCCAGGTCCTGTGTTTCCAGCTCTGCAGTGCCCACAAAAGCTTTCTGCGGACAACAAATGCAGCTGCTAACACACTGGAGACACAGGAGGGGGTGGGGAGGGACAACACGGGGACAAGGCAGCCCATTGAGAGGATTGGTGGAGAGCAAAGGTGTGGCTAGAGCCAGAAACAGACCCCAGAGAGAATAAAGGGTGGCTGGGCCAGGGCTAAGAGACATTAGTGTGACATAGCCCGAGGACAGTGTTAAGCAGGGTCTTGAAACACACCACTGATGAGAACTGCGCATGACGGCTGCCATCACCCACCTGTCCCAGTCAGAAAAAGAGGAATATTCAGCTTATTGCTGCATCAACCATTTGTCATTTCAAATAAAGACCATCTTATTCTGCTTCGGTTTCTGAGACTGCGTCTGGCTTCCCGGCGCCAAAGGTTCTACCACCTGTGCTTATTTCACCAAAGCCTTCATCCTCCATCCGCCGAGTATCCTGCATCTGAATCACTCAAAAGTTTTCAATATTTCAAGAATGAAAAAAATCATACTTCAGCCCATGAATGACTTTAGCTCTGCACAAATGTGAGAATACAGCCAGCACTGTGCACCTCCACACCCTTTCCTAGATGGATTTATAAACCTCACTCCCATCAAGGTTTGCACAGAAACACTCTGTCTGGCTGTTAACCTATACCACGTGTGTGGACCAGCCCTGGGTCACCGACAGGGCAGGGAGAGGACGGCCAGGTGCACAGCGTGCCTCCTCTGCCAGCTCCTCTCCTTTCTCACCATGCAGGCTGGGCAGAACTGATTCCCTTTTTCTTTTCAACTAAGTAAATCTCATTAATTCTAAAAGATTCAGAGGACAAGCTGGGAGAAATGCATTTAAGCAAAGAAGACTTGTCAGCAGCAAGTCAGGAATTCTAAAGAAGTTTTAATAAACTTTTGTCATTTAAGAGATATTTATTTAGAAGTTTCGCTGATGATCTTTTCAACATGCCTTTCTTGTATTTTCATTAAAAATTTCCATCAAGCTGGCCCATACCTAACACTGAAAAAAAATCACATCACATTCCCTTCCACACTCAGAAATTGGAAGCTGGAAGTGTCTAATGCCAGAGTGAAGATGGGTCTGTAAAGTGAAAAAGTTAATAAACTTTTAGAACAAAGTGGAAAGTGAAGGTTTACATGCTCAAGTTTACTTTAAAAAAAA